CAGTGATCCTCCAGGAGAATTTCTTCTGAGACACAGAACTGGAGGAGAATGAGCTCTGCATTATCTAATGTTCCTTGGAGGTTTCCGAAGCTGGAGAACCGTCCCTTCCCATCTGCGTTTATTCCTGAAACTTGGCCCTCAGAGCAGCAGGGAGGTGGTGACTGCGCAGAGGTGGCTTCGGGGGCCAGCATGACCTCACCTCCGAGGCCCGTGCTGGAAGACAAACCGTGATGGGCTCAGAAAACCGTGCTAGAATGAGCTCATCCAATGGTGGATGGACAAGAGCCTACCTAGCTCAGTGGAGCGGACAGAATTAGATGTTCACCCTAACAAACAGAACTGTTGCAATTTCAGAGCTACAAATAGCTGAGGGAGTGGGGTTTTAATTTTCAAATGCAAGACTCAGAGTTGAGCGTAGTGTGCTACCTCCAACCTAAGGCAGAGCTGCAGGAGAAGGGAGGGACCCAGGCCCAGGCCCCTCTGCCTCCAGGGCCCAGAGCCACGGGGCCAGCCGTGCTTTAGGGAACAGTACTCCAACCTGCATCTTTGCAAATGCAAAACCCACACTAGGATAGAGAAGAGAGCCTCCTGGGCCTGGGTGGTTGGTTAGCTATTTAGTTAGAGTCCTTAAGGCAGCCTGAAGACTCACTCAGTCTTCTGATGGCTTTTCTTCTCCACACTTGGCCCTGCTTCCCCACTCCTGTTCATCCAAAAAGCTGCAAATCTTTCCAAAAATATTCACCCGGCACAGCTCTCTGTGGAATCAGCCAAGCAAGGGGTCAGTATTTAGCTGTGATTTAAGCTCAGGGGTAGTGCTCTAAAAATTCTGCAGCATTTTGTCTTGGGTGAACCGTTCCCTCGAGCTTGAGCTGACTTCAGACTCCGAGGCGGATCTTCCCCGGGCGGTGAGACTCTGGTGCCAGAGCCGGGGGACAGGCAGCCTCGTCACCCTGACCAGCTGTGGCAGCTGGCACCGCAGCGCTCCTCTGGACGCACCGCTCTCCCTGGCTTCCAGGAAAGCCTGGTCTCCGGCCTTCCCACCCACATGTCCTTCTCCACCCCTGGCTGGGTGTGGCAGCTTCTCAGAGTTCACTGACAGTTCAGCCCTCTGCGCCCGCCCAGTGACACCCAGAGCCGCACAGCGAGCCAGGCCCAATCCCACCCCAGCGGCCCCCTGCGAGCGGCGTCTACACCAACGGCCCACTGCCTCCAGCCGCCCTGTGCACAGCTGAACCTGTAATACTCCCCAAAACACTTAGTCCTCTTTTGGGGACTGAGGAACAGCACTGTCCCTGTCCACGGCTGCGGAGACATGCACAGCTTTCCCCTCTCCTCCTCCTGCCGTGGCTACCCCGGCCCGCGGACCTGGCTCCTGAGTGTCGCGTCTCCATCCCCTCCGCTCACCACCCAGCCCTGTGCCCTCCCTCCTGTCACCCGGCATACAGGAAGCTCTGACTGTGTCGGCCTCTCCCAAACCCTGCCTCTCCTGCCTCGGCCACCACACGCTCCCGAGGCCCCGTGGCTTCAGCGCTTCCTTTCACTCTTTCCCAGCTCCACCTCTGCCAGAAGGGCCGGGGCCAGGACAGGCCTCCCTGCCCCATCCCTGCACCTGGCCTCCCACTGCTCTGCACCCCTGGGGCTTTTCCCCTGGCCTGCACCTGTTTGACCCTGGGTGAGAAATGCAGGTTCCCATCTCCCCGCTGTGCAGAGGTCTCGCCTGCGCCTGCCCCGTGCAGGGTCCCAACTGCAGCCTGGCCACACAGGCTCTGCACACCAGGAGATGGCCTGCACGTGGCACGGCCTCTGCCCTGCCCCCTCGAGAACAGACGCCACGAGGTGAGCCAAGCACAGAGCAGGGCTGGGGGCACAGCATGCCATGGGGACCCCACCATGCACTGAGCTTTCCTAAGCAGGAACGCTGTGGGGAGTCGCTGGCCACCACAGGGCCACAGAGTCGCTGGCTGATCCGCAGGGTCCCGAGCAAGGCGCTGTACTGTACCTGTAGCACCGCAGCCGGCGGCATGGGTCACTGCTCTCCGAGGACTCAGCCATGTGCAGGGCTGGGTCTGGCTTTCGAGGCCAGTGGCAAAGGTACGCCTACCTCCAGGATGAGGATGGGCTGCTCACAGGGACAGGGTGCTCTCCCGCAGGGCATCCTTCTCCCCACTCCGGACTCTGTTCTGTCCTCTTCCAGGCCAGCAGGGGCTGGGTGCCACCTACTCGCTGGTCACTAGAAAGGTTTGTCTGGGGACCATGCTGAGACTCCTACAAAACTCATCTTGTAGATTTAACCCTTTGGCGTCCTACCAGCACCACGAGGGCCTAAGTTAGTGGCTGCAGGCTGCAAAGCAGCCAGAAACACCAAGCACAGCCCTGCCCAGCAGGCCTCAGCCTTCACATGAGTCCCCCTCTGCCCTGGAGGCATCAAAGTCTCCACAGGGATTCAGATGCTCAGCCAACTTCAAAAAGGTCACAGTGTCACACCCGGCCCTAGCAACAGGCCATGACTTTGTAAGGGGACCCTGAACCCATTCTGGCTCTTACATTTGAAAGAATAAATTAGTCACCGTCAGAAAAGAGTTTAATTTTAAAAACAAGTAGTGGTCTTCTCCTCGGAAAAGGAAAGAAACTGGAAAAGGAAAGAAATTCAAAGACGCAGTGAAATTCTCTCTGCCAGGGCAAAGTGCCCAGCCCTGTGGTGCGGGGCTTTCCAGAGGGAGGAGGCTCCTGGTCATGGCTCCTCCCGCAAAGAAGGGGTGAGCCATTTGCCCCTCCTCGGACAGAAGAGGGAGTTGAAATGGGGACCTTCCCAGCTTCAGCCCCCAGGAGAGATGACTTTTCTTTCTTTATCAGGCTACAACTTTTAAAAGGAGAAAAATATTTTTAAGAAAGAAAAAGCAGAAAAAAAGAAAACTTTTAAAGGATGGAAGGGATCCAGCTCTTTAAGCCACAATAAAACTGCTCATCACTCAGGAAGTGTGTTAGCCAAAACTACGAAAAGAAATTCCTTCTTGACCGCCGTCGTTCCCATGGTTGCAGTTCATCCCCAAGTGCAGACCACAGACACAGAAATCTGCGTCCCCCAGGCATCTGCACAGCTAAGAAATCGGAAGCGGCTGCCAGCCCCTCACCCTCGGGACTTTTACTGGTCCTGCGCCCAATGAGCAGGTGAGGGGCGGCACAGAAAGACCTTCATCGCCTTTAATGGCTCTCAGAGTATAAGAGCTCCCGGGCACTGTGGGACCTGGGTTCTGAGGTTCCCCTCGGGCGGCTTCCGGCCCGGCCCAGGGAACCAGCAGCTGCGGCTCTCCACAGAGTGCACGGGCAGAGGACCCTGCAGACCCCTGCTGAGAGGAAGCCGGAGACACGGCCTCAGGTGCAGGCCTTAGCTCAGCACACAGCTCTATCTGCAGAGTGGCTCCCACAGCCTGGGCGTCACTGAGGAGACACACGCTGCACAGGGCCCGCTGGCCGGGCCCAACCTGGCCAAGGGAGGTGATCACGCACCCAACCACAGGGCGTGCGGAAACTGGGGTGACTCCCTGGCACCTGGACGGGCTCAGAAGGGCCTTTTCAGTCCGTCCTGGGTGTCCAGCCTGTGACCACCAGCAGCTCCCTCCTGCTTGGACCTGAAGGCAGCTCCCTGCAGCATCCAAGGACATGGGTCACCCCTGCCCACCTGCCCTGGGCCTGGTCTCAAGTCAAAGCCGCCAGAGGTCCCCGTCCAGAAGCAGCGCTGTTTCCTCGCTGCCCCGCATCCCCGGTGGCCTGGCCTGCCGGTCGCCCTCCAGTGAGACCCCACTCTGAGGCCTCAGGCTGGCACAGGCACCGAAACGCCCCCAAACGCCGCAGAAGCAGAGGAAAGGACACCTGCTTTTCAGCAAAGCCACTCCCTGGGTCACTCCTCCACGGGGCAGAGATCTGTGAGAACCATAAACTTGCATTTTCTTCAGAAAGCACCTTCTTCTATCTAACTGTGGAAGCCTTCTTAAATAAGTACAATACTGTAATGTAAATGCTAACTTCGGCCCCAGTACACTCGCCAGCAAGGAAAGGAATTCACAGGCGAGCACTCCACGTCAGCGCTGAAAAGAACTAGGATGATCCGTGTGCTCAGGCAGAGCGATCTAAAGCAACACATGGTAGGGACTGTCAGCGGACGCTGCCTCACTGTGAGCCTGCAGGAAAGGACCTGAGTGTATTCAGATGGTGACAGTAAGTTCTAACAAACTTCCCACACGCAGATATAAATCCAATCACATCAGTAAAAATATCAGTAAAAACTGACTCTTACCCAAAGGGATTACTGGCAAAGGCTTCGAGCCAGGGAGACCAAGGAGAGCACCCACTCGGGGAGGCCCAGAGGGCAGGGTGGGCTGCAGCTCCTGAGGGACCTGGAGCAGCTGAGGCTGAGGCGGCAGCACGGGCAGCGAGGCAGAGTGACTGTAGTGGAGCAGGACTATACTCCCAGCAGTCTGGGGGGCTGAGGAAGGAGGATCCAAGCACAAGCCCAACCTGGGCAACTTAGCGAGACCTTGTCTCCAAATAAAAAGGGCTGGGGATGCAGCTCAGTGGGAAGGCCCTGGGTTGGCTCCCTGCACCCCCGACACACACATGCACACTCACACACAAGTGACTGCAGGACGTGTGCTCTCTGCCCCACCAGCAAGGGGAGCTCCATGAGGAAGCTCAGTGAGTGTGAGGTTCGGCCACCAGCTGACGCATGGGCGTTCGCCGCCGGGACAGACACCCTCAGGAAGCAGCCCCAGCCAGGACGCCATGTCCCAGCCCACCGGCAGGCATCCTGGACTGGATCCCAGCCCCTCGAGCCACTGTGGGCTCTGGGCTCAGGACTCGAGGTGCCGCCCTGCAGGCCACCCGGGCCCCCCGGGCCCCGTGCCTGACCTTGGCCTTCCTGCTGCCCCCCGCCTTTTAAAGGTTTTCCTGGCAGCCTTGCCATTTTGCTTCTGGTAGTGGCTTTTACAGAACCGGCTCTTTGTTTACGGGCCAGGACGCCACAATTGCAACAGCACATGAGATGTTCTAGATGTTCCCGGCAGCTTCTCTTCAGCATCAAATATTAAACTCCTGCCATCGGCAGAGTTTGGACCTGGGGTGGGGCCAGCAGGAAGAGCTCGGGCGCAGAGACCTTGGCCTGACCTCAGATCCAGGCAGGAGGGTGCTCGCCCGTGTCCCGCCCCAGGGACCGAGCTCCGAGAGAGCAAGCCAGCCCAGCGTCCGGCTCTGGCTCAAGGGCCCCAGGGCTGGGCTGGAAACAGAATCCAACTGTGCCTCTCGAGGCCTCCAGCTGAAGCAGCTCTTTTCTTTTTCTTTTTGCCTTTTCTTTTCTTCTTCTTCTTCTTTTATTTTTTCTAATTTTGAGACAAGGTCCTCCTGAGTCCCTTAGCTGCCCGAGGCTAGGCTCAAACTTACGATCCTCCTGCTTCAGCATCCCGGAGTGCTGGGGTCACAGGTGTGCAGCACCTCGCCTGCTGAGCAGCTCCTGGGCAGCATTTCTGAGTCTCCACCGACTGTCACCTGAGCCCGAGGACTGCACACCGGCCCTGGAGGCCACTGTGCCTGCAGACGGCAAAAGGCGACACATAGACACCAGGCAGTGACGGTAACACTGGCCGGGCCCACGCACTTCCAGGTAAGCGTGTCCTAGGTGTGCAGGTGCTGTGCCCAGCGAGTGTGCTCCTCACCACGAATCAGACTAAACCACTCTCAGAGAGACGCATGTGCTCCTCCGAGACCGCAGCTGGGCTGCGCCTGCATGGCCAGGACGGAGTCTCTCTGCCCGAGTTCCTGGTCTCACAGAGGAGCAGTAGGGAGTCAGTGTGGGCTGCCCTCACCTCCACGGGGTCCCGGGGTCCTCTCACGCCCATGTGTGCTCACAGCTCACCCACGGTGCCAGGCATGCTGCCAGCTGTCAAAGGCCGAAGCCTCACTGTGTCCCTGAGGCAGTCAGGGCGGGATCAGCTTGACTGGCTTGGGATCCACCTAGGGATGAGGAGGCCCATCTGGGTGTGCGTGGTGGGTCCTGGAGGGCTGGCCTTGGGTCTATGTCTGGTCCCAGCCCCTTCCTCTCTGGTGCTGTCTCCTCCTCTGCCTCCTGGCCACCATGGACTAAGCAGCTTTGCTCCACCATGCCCTTCCACCATGACATTCCTGCCTTGGAGCAGCCGATCAGGGACTGAATCCCCTGCAACTGTGAGTCAAACTAAACCTCTGCTCTTTTATGTCATGGGTGTCAGGTTGTGTGTCTCATGATAAGAAGGCTGGCTTATACGGTATCATTTAGAATGAGGTTCAGCCCCACACAACAACAAATGATGATGATGACTCAGAAAAGGAGAGAAATTTAGACAAAGCAGAAGCTTATTTTGCTCTCACATAGAAAGTCTGGGGCTCTTGGAAACCCCACAGGAAGCAGGGACTCAGACTCTTGTCTTTAGTGCTCTGTCACCCAGCCTGCCACCGTGGGGGCCAAGAAGGCTGCTTGAGCTCCAGTGATCTTCCTGGGAGTCCAGACAGACAGACAGCAGGAAAAAGAAAGAGGCAGAGAAGCATGGAGCCCTCCCTAGGAACACTTCGTAGGACCTGCACGAACATGTCCTGTTGTATCTCACTGGCCACAGCTTGGTCACATGCCACTTCTAGCTCTACAGGAGGCTGCACGTAAAGTCCTCCTCCTGGCCATCACACCAAGTCAAGATCCAGACTCTGCTTTCCTGGGAAGGGGAGGAGTGGCCTATGTCATTCTCTGACAAGGGAAAATGAAAGCACTTACAATCATCAAGAAGTTTGCTGTCCCTCTAACAGTCATGTGAAAAGCTCTTTTCAGACAGAAATGAACCCACAGTTTGAGGCAGAACATGGTGTAAGAGTTTGGTGTTTTTTGGCGGGTTTTGGTTTTTGTTTTTTTGGAACCAGGGACCGAACTCGGGACCTTGGGCTTGCGAGGCAGGCGACAGAACCACTGAGCTAAATCCCCAGCAAGAGTTTGGAAAGAGTGGTTTTCTGGTGGCCCTGGAGTTAAACTCCAAAGTCGACTTCATGTCCAGATCTGCAAGGACATCTGAAGAATAAATGCTGGGTTTTGTTCCTCAGTTCCATCTGCATTTCCTGTTATTCTCCAATAAACAAAACGACAAGTCCTGAACCCAGGATGACCACCCCAGGCGGAGGCCCGGGCTGAGCGGCTCCCTGGCTGTGGACAGGCTCCTGGGGACGGCCGAACCCTCCTCCTCTGCCCACAGACAGAGCCCGAAGCGCGTGTTCAGCGCATGCCCTACCTGCACACTGCCACAGGACTACCTCGAAGCCGTCCCTGTCGGCGTGGTGCTTTGGGCCTCAAGTGTCTCCCAAGCACCGGTGGGTTCAAGGCTGGGTCCCTAGCTTCCTGCAGACACAGTGGGTGGAGCCTTAGAGAGGCGAGACCTGCCCGGAGTGGGGGCTTCGGGTCACTGGGGGGCTGCAGGGGGCGGGGGCCCACTGTCCCCTTCCTGTCCGGCATCCTCCCCTGAGGCAGCTCCACTTCCTGCTGCCAGCATGCTGTCCTGGACCGTGGGACCCAACCAGCTTTCTGCTTCTCCAGCTGTCTCAGGGGTTTGTCACGGTGACGGAAAGCTGGCCGATGCGGACATCTGGAGCCGCGCAGAGGAGGATCTGCTCGGTGTCACTTCGGCACAGCCTGGGGGTCCTGTCCTAGGGCGCTGGCTTCTCAAGCTGGAGCAGACCTGGCCCAGCCTCTTGTCACCAATCGCCGGCCACCTTGTTTGGAGGATTCGAGTTCTGGGGTGCCAACCTAACCCGGCTCAACCCACAGAGACCAGAGCTGGGCCAAGGCTGAGTGTGAAGTAAGCCGCATGGCGACACCTGGGCAATGGCCTTCCCTGCCCCGCTGTGTCCCCGAGTCCTCTCCCCTCGTGGGCAGGTTCCAGTTTAAGGAGGTGGGAGGCTTGCCCCACAGAGCTGCATGCGGCCTCAGGAATGTGGATTTGTGAACAGGGTTCTGGCTGCCCAGGGCCCTTCCAGGCTCTCATCCTGTTCAAAGAATTGTATGGAGAGGCTTCACACGCATTAAAGGTAAGAAGGGTGGGAGAAGTGCTCTGAAAGAAGCCCTGCTGTCAAAAGTCACAGGGCCTGAGGCTCATGACCGCGCCCTGCCCATCCTCCTCCCAAACTCAGATCCAGGCCGCCCACCAAGTCCTGCTTGGGCTGTGCCGGAAGAAGCACAGGCAGCATCCTCTGCTCAGTACCGGGCTGGCCTGGAAGCCGCTCTGCACACATCCTGGCCTTGATGGGCAGGTCACACCCCGGCCCAGCACCCCGCCTCGTCCGGACCCCAGCCCCAGTCTCATGCCGTCCCCTGTGTGGTCGGCTTCCCATCACCGTTACAATGCTAGAGGCAACATCTCAGGCAGAGGAAAGGCTTAGTCTGGGCCTCCGAGGTTCCAGCCATGGTCCCTGGGCCTGGCTGCCTGGCATTAGGGCAGAGGGGTGGCAGGAAATGGAGAGAGGAGCCAAGGCCCTGGGGCCCCTCGGTCAGAGGCCTGTGGGGCACCCTAGAGAGGCCTGGGAGGACGCCTGGTGCACTCCTCACTGGTGCAGGACGGCCCAGGGTCTGGGCCAGGCAGGAGATCTGCATTTTCAGGTCCGCACCCATGAACCATTTTAAAGAAAGGAAAGGAAAGTTCTGAGAGGGAAGGGTGGGACTGGACCAGGGCCAGGGAGTCCAGGGCTGGGGCAATGGACCCCCTCTTCTCATAGAGAGGTGAGTGAGGCCTTATACTGCTGGCTGCAGGCAGAAACTGCAACGTGCCAGAAAGGAGTTCCTCAGGGAAACGGGAATAATACTACTGAAGCCAGCACCGACAGATGGGGTCATCTCCTGCCTTGTCTGTGTAGCAGGTCACTGCCCAACACCCAGAAGGGGAGAATGGCGGTTGCTGAGATGCCACTGGAAAAGCCAGGCTTTCCTTCATGCAAGAGAGCACATGGTTGGCCTCCTTAGGGTTCAAGCACTGTGACCCTTGGCCAGAGAAGTCTGGGAAGGACTCCAGGCCCCCCGGAGCAGATTCTGAGTCCCTGGCAGCTGCCTGGCACACAAGGGTCCTGCAGACAGCAAGGACTGCATGGCTGTGTGACCCATGCACAAAGCTTACTGCAACATTCACACAGAATCCCTGGGCAGATGGTGGGGCTCGTGCCCTGGCAGCCCAGAGAGCAGATGCCCAGGGCTCCCAGGTTGCCTGGGGTGCAGCCACAGAGCACCTACACCTGCCCCCCAGCCATGGTGCAGCAATTGTCTTTGGAGCCAGCTGCAAGGGAAGTGGCCAGCAGCTCCTGCCCAGTGCCCCGGGCAAACTTCCCACCACACTCTCATTCTGCAGGTGCGCGGGGGCCTGGGACTCAGCTGCTCCCCTACTGCACGGCCTGCGTGGGAAGAAGCCCACTCCCCAGGCCACTGCAGTGCATGGGAGGAAGGGCCCTGAGAGGACGTCCCCTCCCTGGACAACCATCTGCTAGGCGGCCAGGGGCTGCCAGGAAGACACAGGCCCAGAGGGCCAGAGAGTTCCGGACGCCGTCTGGCGTTCCCACTGTGGGAAGGCACTGACCTGGCCATTGCTCCTCGGAGATCCTGGGCAGAGAGATGGGGGCGGCACAAGCTCACCCACAGGCCCGAGGCCTGTTTTTATAAATAAAGCTTTATTGGAACACTGACGCTATCCTTCCTTTGCATCTTGTCTGTGGCTGCTTTCCTGCTACAGGAACAGTGGAATCCTTGGGGCAACCAGGCTCAGGATGTTTGCCAGACGGCGGGCGATGCTGTCCCCCAGAAGATGTAGCTTGTCCTGGCCGGTGGCTGACTCTGCCGTGGGTATGCACACCAGCTCCTGTGTGGGATTCCAGCGATGAGGCAGAAAGGCCGCACGTTGTGGCAGCAGCAAAGGCCACTTGCCTGTGTGGCCAGGATGTGACAGAGAAGGAAGAGAAGGGCCCGGTCCCCCACGTCTCCAAGGGCTCCCCAGGGACCTCGCCCTCAGCCTATCACTGGGCTTGTCCGGCCTGGAGGAGAATTTCTGCAGAACCAGTGAGCTCATCCACTTGAGTGAGGGCACGGGAGGCCAGGAGGAGGCCCTGAGCGCTGTCCACCGCGAGCCATGTTGGGGTGAACAGGAGTGCCTGCTGGATCCAAGCCTGCCCCAGAGAATACAAGATCTGGGAGCTCTTCTGAGGAAAGAGACGGAACCCCAGCTGGTCACTGAGCAGATGCTGCAGCCCCCCCCCCCCCAGTGGGTCCATGCACACCAGGAGCTCCGCTCGCCAGGTGCTGGCGGCCTCCTCCCGGTGTTTGCTGGTGAAGACGAGCCTGGACTTCCTTCAAAGTACGGCTGTCGCTGGCACAGGAGTGGGGGTTGGGGGTGACAGCTTGAGGGGGTTGTTTTTCCTTGTTAGCAAGTTCTGCGTTTAACATTTAAAATTATGACAACTGATGCAATGTTTTCTTGAAATGGTGAAGCTATTTTAAACCATTCAGCTGGACAGGAGTTTGTAGTTTATACTGGTACACGTTTAAAACACTTCGCAATTAATTATTGGGCTTAAAAAATTAAAGCTATAATCTGGGCGTGGTGCTGCACACCTGTAATCCCAGCACTTGGGAGGCTGACACAGGAGTATCGCTGTGAGTTTGAGGCCAGCCTGGGCAATATGGTGAGACCCGTGTCAATCCCCCCAGATCAAAGCTGTAAATTTATTCCGATTTCTGTCTTGCACTTCATTTCAGTGGAAATAAAGGGCCGGCTAGGAGCACTCTGACTGGCAGTGACGAGACAATGACAGCTTTTGCTGAAGGCGAAACCTGCCGCCGTCATTCTTGGGGATCGGTAGCCTTTCCCCAGTGGGCTTGAGGCCCGGCGCGAGGTCCGTTCTTCACCAGGAGTGCGAATTCTTCTCTCTAAATGCATGTTGACGTTTAGTTGGCACACAGTAATCACACGCATGTGGGTTTCGGTGCCGCACTTCGGCACGCGGCACGGAATGATCCGTGACTGACGCAGCCATCGCCTCAAATGGCAGTCGTTTCTTGGGGGAGGCCCCCGCATCCCCTCCCTCACTGTTCTGAAATACTCAGCTGATCACGGCCCACCACACTTATCCAGCCCTGCTGTCCTCCCACCCGCCTGCACCCCAACGCCCACGACCGCCCTCTCCCCCGTCCGGGGCTCGGGAGTCTCAGTGTCCCCTTCTTCTAGGAGAAACCTCTTAGCTGTGATAAAAACATCCCACGAGTGTTTGCTTTGTTTTGTTTTGGTTGGGTTTGGCGTTGTCTTTCTGCCCTGGCTCTTTCACCTGGAGGGGCGGCCCCCAGTTCCGTGAGAAATGGAAGGCGGCCGCCCTGAAGAAGCCGAGCGCGCTCTCTGCCCAGGACCCCAGGCTGCAGCCCGCGTGCCCACAGGCGGGATGCGCACGGCGCCCCAGCTGTCGGGAGGGGGTCCCGGGCGCCAGGCGTGGACAGTGACAGGGCCGGCAGGGTCCACGGGGCGGGGAGGGGACGGTGTCTGGGGCTGAGGGCCATGGGGCAGCAGAATGAATTAGCAGCTTCTCGTTCTCCTCCCGGAATCCCCCAGGCCCTGGGACTTTTTGACCAGGATGACGACCTTCCAGGACTGGGTGGTCGCTCTGACCACAGTGCAGAGTGGGGGAAGGAAAGGAGACGTGTCAGGAGGAGATTCCGTGCCCGCCTGGACCAAGGAGCGTCAGAAGAATGGGGAGGAGAAGGCGGGACCCAAGGCTATTCAGGGAACCAAGTCAAGAGGCCCACATTCATCCCTGACAGCATTATTTATCAGCAATACACGTGTTTGTTTTGTTTTATTTTGTTTTGGAGACAGGGTCTCACTATATCATCCAGGCTGGTCTTGAACTCCCAGCAATCCTCTTGCTTCGGCCTCCAGGTAACTAGGATTACAGGTTTGCACCACCATATCTAGTTTATACGTATTTTTTGTTATGTATCAGCTAACAAATTTAATTTTAAAAACAAATCCTGTTCTTTAAAACTTTTGTAAAACCAGGTGTTGTAAAATACAAACATGAAAAAGATCCAAAACGTTAACACCCGTAAGTCAATCGGATGTTTTGACGCCATTGCTTTAACTTCCCTGTCAGCATCTCTCAGTTCTCTTGTGAAGATTGCAAATGTCAATACAAAAGCATAAGTAAAAGAGCTCTGCAGCTGTCACACGCTAACTCCCGTCACCACCTGGGAGAGGCGTGACAGACACAGGGAATCCCTGGATTTTCCGGACCTGCGCAAGGGCCCTGCGCATGCGCTGTGCGCGCCCCGCGGCTCGCGCGCCCCCTCGTGGTAGCGCACGACAGCTCATCCGGCCCTGTAACCGGTACGGAGGCCCGCTGGGGTCTCTGCCCACAGAAGGCGCCGCTGCGAGAGCGCGGACCGGTCGGTCCCTGGAAGGACTGCCACTGCGTGCAGCACGGGGCGCTACCGACATCTCCTCGGGGGTGAGCTCTGCTTCGAACACTCAGAAACACTGCGCTCATTGTCGTGAGAACACAGTCTCAGGTGAAATAGGTGAGACACACAGGTGTGAATAGTAAGTCATTTCTCTTGTGTAAGAAACCCGAAGTGTAAAAACGGAGCAAACTAGAGGATGGCTATTGGGAAGTAGGAAGAACTTGTTCAAATGGGACGGGGCACAAGGGAGGGGGAGGGGAGAAGAAAGAAGGGGAAGAGAGCTTAAAGAGAGAGAGTGGAGGGAAAATGGAACAGCTTTTGAAGCAGGAGGGGCAGAAGGGTTCAGGCGGGCGGTCGGGGGACGGGGGTGGGGGATGGAGACGGATTATGCGTACTGTGCCGAGGCTCGCCGATGCGGGCACCGTGTGCTGTGTGCTGACCGCCGTGCGCCTCGCCGAGTAAGTCCCAGTTTTGCTGCCCATTGGGGGCGGTGGTCTGGGTGCTAGGTGGCCCTGCACACCTCGCTGTGCTCGAAGGCTGGCACAGTAGCTGTCTGGGACTGGAACCCTGCAGATGGCAGATGATAAGGAAGCCGTGTGCAAAAGGCTCGCCCACCAGCTTGGGGTGAAGCGTGGACCCCGACTCTCCCTCCAGCATCTGCCTGGACAGCAGGATGCACACTGCTGCCGGCCAGCCTCTTCATAAGGCTTGCTTGACTGAAAGTGCTGTTTCCCCGGATTCGAGGTTTTTAATTATTATCTACCAGGAGGAGAGCTCAGAGACTGACCGACGTTTACCCTTGATCTCTCCAGGGAGCCCCACCCAGCACCAGAGGCAGGCACACCCAGGCCGCAGCCTGGGCACACTGCCCAAACCCCTCACCATGAGCGAGCAGTCATAAATTAGGTTAGGTTGTAAATGTTCCAGGGGAATGTGCTTCCTGGGCTCAAAAACTGTTTTTAAAACCTTTTCAACTTAGCAAAAAATGCATAGGGAAGTGATTATTTTCTGCTTCCTCGGCTGCTAACCTGGCGATTCTCTCACATAATGGGGCAGGCACAAAGAGACCACAGTTCAAAGCACGAGCTTACTCTTGTCTGGAGCCGACCATCCTTGGCAAGGACGGAAGCCTCAGTTTGCAGCCTTCAGATTACGGCTGAAGTATTTTTTTATTTGTAAATGTCCAATAAAAATCAATCAAGCCATCGCTTTACAATTCAGGACAGCTCAAAAATGTCTGTGTGCATTAGTGATGGTTTACCAATTTTTAAACTAATAAATTACAAGGTTCAAGGGAAAACAGCGTTTTCAAGAGGAGTCTTTGAAAAGTTGACTGTCTTACTGGAAACTTGAGGAAGAGGCAGTCAGGAGAAAGCTGCCAGGATGGGTGGCAGGAAAGTGTCACCTTCTCCCACCCACACCCAAGTTCAAAGCCCTGGACGCCTTTAGCCACCTTGCTGGCCCTGCGTGGACAGCTTCCCGACTCTCATGATGTCTCTCTCTCTCTCTCTCTCTTTCTCCTGCTTCTCTGTAACTTTCCCCAAACACTGTCCCGGCCAGGGAGCAAATAAAGTCGCGTCCCAACACGCGGGCTCCTGCTCTGCCTGCCACAGACTGTGCCTCTGTGGGAGGCCAGGAAGGAACTGCGGCCCCACGCGGGAGAGGCACAGCCCACAGCTCACAAGGAAACTTCTCCCAGCCTCCATCTGCAGGGCTGACTAGAACCTCGACCGGGTCTCCCACAGAAACAAACGGGAACCGCTGCCTTTTCAAGCTGGCCCAGAAAAGCTGTTTGCTGACAGCACGGCTGAGTGAAAAGCTGCCGATCCGGTCCTCGTGGGCCTCCTCAGGAAAGGACTTTCCACCACACGTCCAAGCCCTCCGGATGGGAGGGAGGAGCTCCGCCCACTGTCACCCGCACTATCTCCCGTCCTGTCCTCTACCATCCTGACCAGATTCTTCCCAGATTTCCCGGGGATGGAGCTCCTGGTGCCATGATGCACCACCGCCTCCAGGTGCTGCTGCCGGGCGGCGTGACCTCGGGCTCTCCGGGCCTGGGCCTGGCCTGCCCCCGCACTGGCTCTGGGGTCACGCAGGAGGACATGAGGGGATCCCTGGATGCCACGTGCTCTCCCTAGGCTGAGCCTCCACCTGCCAGTCCCCAGCTGCTGACAACCTCAGCTGCACCCCACACCTAACCCTAACCTGACCTGGCTGTGACAGTCGGCTCCCCAGGACTGCAGCAAACACAAGACGAAGCAGCTACCCGGGGAAGGGCCGGTGGGCTCAGGCGTTGGAGGGCCCGCCACATGGTTACTTGGCCCGCGGCTGTGGGTCTGAGGCAGACATCGTGGAGTGTGGGATGAAAGAGACAAAAGAGCTGGGTCCCGATGTCCCCTGCACGCCGCCCTCAGGCCTCTCTTCCTCCCAAGGTCCCCCCACCCCCTCAGCACACCTGGCCTTCAGGGGACGTGCAAGACCGGACCACGGCACTTCGCAAGGACCCAGCCTGGGCCCAAAGCTCTGTCCCATCGACAGCCCCAAGACGGTTCAGCTTCTCCCTGCCCACCCCACCTCCCTCAGCCTCTCAGCACGGTTGTGGGGAGCACAGTCCCCAGCCCTGGCCGGTGCTGGTGGCCTGCCGGGTTGTCTCAGCTGCCACGGAAAGTCACCGTGGAGAGCAGGGTGGAGGTGACGCTGCCACCACACCACATCCCGGGGGCTCTGAGGTAGGCAGAGAGGCACTCCTGAGCCATCGATGCACTACAGAAAGACAATAAAGGCTGCGTTCAGTTAACTCTTAGTTAAGATAAAATCTGAGTGCCCCTGGGCCACAGCGGCACTAGAGAAGGAGCCTGTGTGTCCCCCTGAAGAAGGACAGACAAGGCAAGAGACAGTGAGCAGGACCCCCACACAGGCCACAGATGCCTCCTCTGGCCAGGTGAGGAGGTGCAGGTGGGCAGGCAGCAGCGGGCGTCGCCTTCACAGCAGCACTGGGAGCCGCCATCCAGATCATAATCAATCACACGCCAGAACACACACTCGGTTCCTCTTAGAAGCCCTGCTCCTCACTAGGCGAAGGCCGTGTAAACATTAATGTGACAAGATTAGACATGAAAATTGCCAATGCCTCTGATTAAAATAAATATTAAGCCTTGAAGCATATTGCTAATTATTAGAGTCTGTGCCCGCTCCAGCTGGCCCTGGTGCAAATCCTGCTCTGTTACTGCTCCTGTCCAGACTTGGCGAGCTCTGCAAACGTCTCCGTGCCTGTTGCCTTGTCTGAGACCCACAGCTGGTAAAGCTCTCCTGCTAGGACTGTGGCGATGCATAAGCACATCGACTTGCGCAACTGGCTGAAGAGTCCCTGCTACACAGCGAGCACTCAATAAACTAGCTGAAAATGGAGGCCAAGTGCTATGACATAATCAAGAGTGAAAAAGAAGAGACTTAGGGCACAAACAATGCATGAGGACCAGCATCATAAAGAACCAGTAAGCTTCATGTGAAAGAAATTTATTGCAGGGAAAAAAAAAATCAAAGTATCTCAAATGACACATTGGAGTAGAACAACCTCAGGCAGTTCTTTTCACCTTCTCTCGTCTCTACACCCAAGATTTTTCTCCACAAAAATGAATTGATTGTATAGGATTTTAAAATGTGTTTTTAAAAACTAGAAATTATATCTGCTGACATAGGCCTAAGATAATAAAGCTATTTCCCGTTAAGAGAAAAATCGAAGTTTTAAAGGTGTACCCTCTACACTTCCAGTTCCCTTGAAAGCTGATCATATCGATTTGCATCCAGCTCTGCCCCCATCCATACCGTGTACCTAGGACTGCGGGGCGAGGGACAGCAAGGGCTTGGAACCTAACGACAGCTGGCAGCCAAGTCGCTTATGTGGGTGCTCAGTGCCTACTCCCAA